AATTTAATGCCTTCAGCCTGTCATTTTCAGAGATCTCCAGACTGTCACAATATGGACCACAACTTCATACAGAATGCCTTGTGGTCCCCTCCTTCCCTCCCACCCCCCTTTTGAGAGCCCATAACATCCTTCTGGCAGCTACTGAAACTGCTTACATGGAAAAAGTTATGAATTTTTAAATGCAATTTAGGATCAGACAAATAGCCAGCTCTCTGCATATCAGTAGCAAGTGCTCCATGGGCCACAGTTTGAGAAGTGATGTAACACTATTCTGTTAATATTGCATGTTCAGTACTTTCTAAGGTAATGAGTCCAAGTCCATGCCTTTTCTGGAACGAAAACTCCTTTAGGAATTCTACTCCCCGTATTCTCGCAATTAAAAGCAGGAGCTATTGTATTTTTTTGGTACAGGTTTAGTCCTGAAATATAGTGAGAGGAGTTCTTGATCTTTGGCACCTACATTTCATCAAGTACCACTTAATGCTAATTTAAAAAATCAATCAAGCTATGAAATAGCATTTTTAAGGAGCTCTTTTAATACAAGAGGTCAGATGTTTCAGGAGTCTGTTTAAATTTAGGACCTAAGAAAGATCTTTCCTTTTAGACTGGGAAGGTAAAAAGTTTTGATTCAAACAAAAACCAGTTATACCTCTGAAGTTTTCTTACAAGCCTTTGAAATCAGAGCACCAAAGGCCTGTTTTTCAGAGGTACTGAGCACTTACTACTACTACTCCTATTGAGGTCAAGTGGGCATTCTGAACCCACAAACAGACAGACATATCACTGATTGGGTCATATTAAAGAAAGTAAGAACAAAAGTTGCATTTTTAAAGAAAAATGCTCATTACAAAAATAGCACTAACAGACCTGGTTAGACCAATTCTATTTTACACAGCATGGTTACATAAGAATATATTTTCCATCCCTTTTTGTGATACCTGCCACCATAATTAGACTTTGGTATGTGTTCAGCAAAGTTAACAGGTTTGCTTTTCTTTAAAGAAAAAACAAGCTGTGAGTGCGTTTTTAAAAACTCTGCTACATTTGAATACATAGCAAAGCATGTGTCTTAGCAGAATCAGGAAATGTGCTTGATTTTATACTCAAACTTCAGAAGGGCTCTGCAACTTCAGTGGGACTATTCCCAGTGCAAGATTGGGGTTTAGGATATTAAGGCCTGGTCTACACTTAAAATGCCACAGTTATGTCAAACATCCACCCCCCACAAGCACCGTAGCTTTGCCAACCTAACCTCCAGCATAGATGCAGCTAGGCCTTTTTCTGACAACTTAGCTACCCTCGTTCAGGAAGGTGGTGTTCCTACTGCGACAGGGGTGAGCGGGGGGAAGGGGGGGGGAACAATGCATTTTCTTCACTGTAGGCTATAACCACACTATGGGGTTATGCTGGCATAACTAGAATGCCATAGCTGTACTACTATAGTCCCTGAACCATAGACATAGCCTAAGTCATGTACCAAGGCAAACCAAAAATGTTTCATTAAGTTGGCACACACTAAATTACAGTTTTACCCACTGAAAACAGAAAAACCTAGATTTCTCTTCTCAGTGCAATTTAAGATTTGGAGGGAGAAAAAGCACTACAGAGATTTGCCTGACTTTTCATTAGGGCTGTCAAGCGATTAAAAAAGTAATCATGATTAATCACCACTGATTAAAAAAATTGCACTGTTAATAGAATACCATTTATTTAAATATTTTGGATGCATTCTACGTTTCAAATATATTGATTTCAATTACAATACAAAATACAAAGTGTACAGTGCTCGCTTTATATTTATTTTTGATTACAAGTGTTTGCACTGTAAAAATGATAAAAGAAATGGGGGAATTGAAAAATACTAATATAAGTACTGCAGTGCAATCTCTTTATCATGAAAGTTGAACTTACAAATGTAGAATTATGTACAAAAACCCTGCATTCGAAAACAAAACAATGTAAAACTTCAGAGCCTGCAAGTCCACTCAGTCATAGTTCTTGTTCAGCCAATCGCTCAGACAAACAAGTTTATTTACATTTGTAGGAGATAATGCTGCCCACTGCTTGTTTACAGTGTCACCTGAAAGTGAGAACAGGTGTTCTCATGGCACTGTTGTAGCCGGCATCACAAGGTATTTACGTGCCAGATGCGCTATAGTTTCACATGTCCCTTCATGCTCCAACCACCATTCCAGGGGACTTGCGTCCATGCTGATGACAGGTTCTGTTTGATGAAAATCCTAAGCAGTGCAGACCGACGTATATTCATTTTCATTATCCGAGTCAGAGGTCACCAGCGGAAGATTGATTTTCTTTTTTGTGGTTCGGGTTCTGTAGTTTCCGCATTGGAGTGTTGCTCTTTTAAGACTTCTGAAAGCATGCTCCACACCTTGTCACACTCAGATTTTGGAAGGCACTTCAGATTCTTAAGCTTTGGGTGGAGTGCTGTAGCTATCTTTAGAAATCTCACATTGGTACCTTCTTTGTGTTTTGTGAAATCTGCAGTGAAAGTGTTCTTAAAATGAACATGTGCAGGGTCATCATCTGAGACTGCTATAACAAAATATATGGCAGAATGAGGGTAAAATAGAGCAGGGGAGATACAATACTCCCTCAAGGAGTTCAGTCACAAATTTAATTAACACTTCACCT